TCTACACTAGATTTTGCTACTACATTTTACTTCTTACTTTTCCAGTAGATCAAATTGTCGCCAATGAAGATATAATATCTATAAGTGGATCTCAAGTCAAAAGGAAAATTTGCAAATCTATATCCGAGTAACCAACAACCTGAGTGCAATTACTATGACCATGTAGTAAGCCTTTTCCTAGAGCAACTTTAATATACTTCAAAATGCAAATAATTGCAATCAAATGTCCTTTACATAGAAAATTAAGAAACTGACTTACCGTACTAACTACAAAGAGATGTCAGGACAAATAACTATGTGATAATTCACTTTTCCAACAAGCCTTCTATATTTCTTAGAAATGCATACTTTCTTTGAGAAATAATAATTCCATTATTAGATTATGTTATCTCAATCCCCGATAAATATTTCAATTTGCCAAGGTCTTTTGTGTAAAAATGGTAGTAAAAGTGTTGTTTTATTTGTAAGATATCATGGTGATCACTACCTATAAGAACGATATCATCAACATACACTACCAAGTAGATACACTACACCTTCTATTCTTATAACGATAAAACACTAAATTATCCCCCTCACTTCAAGTCATGTCAAATTGTTGGACCACTACACTGAATCAACTAAACCATGCCCTCAAAGACTGCTTGACACCATATAAAGATTTATGGAGGCGATATACAATTCCGGAAGATCCCCCCTATGAAACAACAATGGCATTGACGACGGTAGGAGTGATAATAACAATGGTAATACAAAGATAATGGTGGTGAGTGATAACAACAATGGTGGAACTAGTGATGGTTAATATGATAATGATAGTGATAACAACAATGACTACGATGACAAAAAAACTGGTGACCCTAATGTAGTGGTAGTTGCCATAGCAATTATGCTAATTGTTACAATGGAGATGATGTGATGACAAGAAAGATGATCACAAAACATTGGTGGAAATGGTGGTAGAAGTTATGGCAACGATGGAGGAAATGGTGACAATTGCCATAGCAACAATGGTAACATAAGTGGTGGTTAAAGATGACGATGACAGTGAAGAGAATGTATATAAGGGTGGTAATGACAACAAAATGGTAAGAGTTATGGTGACAACAACGATGGTAAGACAAATGAGGACAACAACAACATCAACAATGGTGAGAGTGATGGTGACAACAATAACAACAATGGTGAGAGTGGTGGTGACTACAACAATGAAAATAATGATAGGGGTGGGATGATTTAGGTAACCATAGGGACAATGATAATAAGAGTAATGATGGTGATAGTTGTTTTTGTGTTGAAAGTCCCACATCGCCTACCTCATGTCATTTGGTATGGTTTAAATACATGCTAGGCTACTCCACATATTGCCAATTGATTTTATGTTGGAACCTTAACATGGTATCAGAGTCAAAGCCTAACATCTTTCTGGTTATTGTCATGGGCCAAAAGTTGCCCTTTAGTTGGGTCAAAAGTACCCTTTGCCTGGTCCGGCAGGCCTCATTGGAGGCGGTGTGTTGAAAGTCCCACATCGCCTACCTCATGTCATTTGGTATGGTTTAAATACATGTTAGGCTACTCCACATATTGCCAATTGGTTTTATGTTGGAACCTTAACAGTTTTAATGGAGGTGGGTGGTGAGAGAGCATGAGGGAGGTAATTTATTCTATCTAATGATTTTAACCCATATGTACCCTTGGAATAAGAAACACATCACCCTAAAAAGATAGGATAAGCAATAGGATAAGGAAATTGTATCCTATCACTACACCAAAGAATTGATTAGTGCAAAGGATATGATAGTTATCATATCTTACCAAATCCTTACATTCAAATGAGCCCTAAATGGAGGAGAATAGAGAAACTACAAGGAAGTCACTCGAAGCCTCAAGTAAGAATCCATATTCTTACCACAAGACAGCAAGAAATAAAAGTTGTTCCTTGGATAAAGGTGGAATTGGCCTCAACATCATGCTTCAATTGGTTGAACATAAATGGATCTTCATTCCGACGGCCAAAGGTTGCCTTGAGGAAAATTTGAAACGTTTGGCTTTAGATGGGAGTATAGATACCCCCATTCATGGTTATCGAACTCGCGGGTTGACTCGTACACCCGTACGAGTCAGCGAGTCAAGCTATTGTTTACGGGTTAACTCGCATATAAACTCATTTTTTGTTTGACTCGGAGTGAACTCGGAATAAACTCGCTGACTCGGAATAGACTCGCGAGTTTGAGAGCGAGTCACCGAGTTCGTAGGAAGGACGAAACGACAAACAAAAATTTCGTTACCATTTCGATTTTAAACCCAAACAAAAGCCCTAACCACCCAAATCGAAAACCTAAACGAAATTAAAGATTGAAACCCAAATCAAAAACCCTAATCGAAGAAGAAGAGAAAATCAAAGATGAAAACCTAGCTCTAACCTCCGTCGCCCCGCAGCTCTGGTGTCGCGCGTTGAGTTCTGGTCGCGTCGCATCGCGTCGCGTTTTCGCCCCCCGCAGCTCAGCCCTCGCAGCTCCTCGTCATCGCGTCGCGTCGCGTTTTCGCCCCCGCAGCTCAATGGCGTCGCACCTCCAATCGCCTCGCGTCGCAGCTCCGGTCGTCTCGCGTAGCAGCTCCGGTTGCCTCGCCTCGCGTTGCAGGTAGTGCGTAAGTGAGTGTGAGGATGTGCGTTGCATTTCTCTAAAATGCAATGCATTTTTTCTGAACTGAAACTTTTTTTTTTATTCATTAACAAAAATCTTTATATTTTTTATTTATTTATTAAATAGATAGTATTTATATAATTTATTCTGTTTTATTTATTGAATTTATTTTGATGATAAAATTCTGAATTTATATTATTATATAAAATTTTTCATATGAAGTAGACTCTTACGAGTCTACGAGTCGGGTTTACGAGTCGAGTCTACGAAGCTCTCACGAGTCAACGTAGACTCTGGATTCTGATAACCTTGCCCCCATTAGTAGTTAGTTAAGTGTCTCTCACTAAGGGAGCTAGTTAATTGCATCATTTGGGTGAACTGAGATAGTATTAGATGAGGCATAGCCTACATGTAAAATGGGGAGATTTAAGAGGGAAATTAAATTATCTTCTCATTTTAGAAAGAATGATAATAGAGTGGGGAGAATCCTGGTCTGTTGTATATCCAGTACAATCATTCATTTTGTATCTTCTAAACCGAGCTGGGATTTAATATTCATCAATAAAAATTCACTCTTTCCCTTAGATTCTGATGCATTTCTATCATCACTTTTCCGCTAGGAGAAACGAAGGGAAAAAGCAGAAATGTTCATGGATGGGTTACTCTACTCTACTATACTAAAGTTTCTCTTTGGATGCATGAACTTAACAAGCATGTTAATATCAAACATGCACTGAAAGTGTCATTTATTTATTTTTATCTTTCAATTAAAACTGATTTCATTATCAGTGCTTGTTTATATAATAATGGCTGCTCAAACCAATAAGATAGCTGAACAAAATTAGGTAAGCAGAATACTTATTAAGGAATTTCAACAAATCGTTATCTGTTGGTTTCTAAAAAAAATTTCAAGGTGCATCCAAAAACACTTATCACATTACGCAAATTTCATTTCAGTAACCATGGGTGAAATAAAATTAAAAAAGCAAATAAGTAAAAAATAAAATAAAATAAAAAGATGAATAAAGGGAAAACACTATCCAAGAACCATATAAAACACTAAAAGCAAATCTGGAATACCAAGTTTATGCTCAACGGTTCACACAAACATAAATTTGAAAACATACTTGGTTCTGTATCTTAGATTTCTCATAATACAGATATACACAATAACTCGTTGTACTAAAACAAATCTTCCAGGAAGTTTTGAACTAAAAGTGAAATGCTGCAATATTTTTTAATGGATGTCAAAATAAAAATGATTAGGCTGTGAAAACGGAACTTCATTTTGTAATTAAAATATTCTGAGCTTTGAAGAAAGTAACGTTTAATTATAAAGACGCCAATTGCATTTGTATCAGCTCCTTAAACTTCAGAAGAATCACCAGGCCAGTAATAAAAGATTGATGGACTTAAGTGCAATCTGCAAAATGAATAGAAAAGCATGAAAAACAATTTCAAAGTGGGAGAAAAATGAAAGGTTGTACTGCCCTGCAAATTAATTTTTTGGCAAAACTGATTAAGAGATATAAAAAGTTGAACAGCAAGCTACAAAATGATTTGCCATTTGAACAAAAAATTAATTAAAAAATTGTATCGTACTGAATCTTAAGATTTATAAACACAGTGAAAATAGCTTGAAATCCATCATAGAAATGATGTACAACACTCAGTGTACTATTTTTAGGTAGAAAATGATTATTATGAATCTAACAAAACAAAATCATAAGCTATGATGAGGGCGAGAAACATCTATTTCAAAAACTGAGATGGACTAGCCAAAATTAGTGCATACCATGAGTCAGTAACAGTGTAGAACACATTTCAAAAGAATGAAAATTGAACATTTGAATAATTAAATTGGTGCATTTAGTAGTGCCCCTCTAGTACCTTTTTATTTAACAAATTTAACTTTATCTAACTTTCCAAATTCTTTAATACGATATGGCGAAAGAAAAGAAAAAAACAAATAAATAACAATGAAAAGCCAAATTGTGTGATTACTACAGTGATGTAGAATTACATTGTTAAATCACCTGTGTATTCTAAGATTAAAGTAATTTTTTATTCATCATATGATTCTAATTGTTTGCAAGCCAAACAGTATTGAATTGTGAGACTTCAATTGCAAAACGCAAGGAACATTAAGCACTTGTGTAATAATATTTGTTTTAGTAAAACTTATAACAGCCAATTTGGAATTCATAAGAATTTCAGAAAATCAATTTGGTCCATGAAAAATCGGAGACAAAAGACTTCAAAATAAATTAGATGCGACCAAGAACTTGCCCAAGCTAACATCCCAGTACACTAAAAAGATGTCAAATTTCCACAGCTCTACTTGTGTTTAATGGGATGGTGAAAGTGTATCCAGTAGAACTAAAAAGAAGAGCGAATTTCATGCACCGGTGTGATGTGTGTACATCAGCTGCCCTACTGGCCCAGGTCCAAATGACCACAAGGTGTATTAGGTCATTCCTAGAATTTCTCCCACTTTAGTCCATTGTGCTTCCTACAACTATAACCTAAGTCTAGTTTATAACCCTAAAAATTAGCATGCTTTTCTATGCAATAGTAAAACAAATTACAACTCAATTATGCATCTACTGAAATACTTTGCATTATCAAAATAACATATTAACCCAATAACAACTCAACAATGGAGGGGAGCAAAGAAATGAAAGGATCAAAAAAGGAATTGTGGACAGGAATAGGATAAAGCAAAGGAACTGCTAATTATGATTTTAATGCCAGTGTCACATTCACCCTAATGATTCAAACGCATGAGACTTCCACCTTTGTTGTATTACATTGTTATAGTATCCTCTATATCCAGTGAAAGTAAATATGTACGAGACCAACATTATGTTCCTTGAAGCATGCACATCTTAAACAAGGTATAGGATCATAAAAAAAATGTTTTTGTCCATTCTTCCACTGCACAGAATCAGTAAACCTACACAAAGAAAGTCAGACTGTTCTTCCAACTATAACACTGAACACACCATAAGTTATATGAACAGTATCAATTCAAACAAGGTATCATATAAAATATGTTTTTGTTTTTGTCCTTTTTTCCACTGCACAGGATCAAAAAACTACACAAAGAAAGTCAGACTGTTCTTCCAACTTTAACTCTAAACATCATAAGCTATATGAATCGTATCAACTCAAACAATGGTCCTCAGCAAGTATTAACAAATTATATTTTAAACCAAATAGAAATTTGAATCCACACTTCATCCTCTGCAATTAATGTCCACTTACCATATTATCAACATCATATTTGCAGTACCATTTCTATCATATTATCCAAACTTCAACAGTTAAGCTACAAGCAATCAATGCAAGAGATATTTCTTTCAAATGCAAGAAGAGAGAAAAACTCTTTTTTTTTTTTTTTGTTAACATGATTTTGACCCCCCTCGATATATAAATGCATAAGAAACGAGATGTTTGTGTAAATGGTTAGAGTACATAGTGTTACAATATTATACAAGGATTTAGAGAAAAGGGTCTGCGACAACAATTGACGGCAAAATGCAGGTTTTCAGGGTCTCCGTAATTTTCCACAGTATTTGTTACAAATTAGCAACTGGAACAGCGACCCCAGTTTAAAACCTTGCTATATAATCCTTTAGATAACTTGAGGGGGTTTTGTACAGGGTTAGAAATGGGAGGTGGTAAGCGAATTGAATAAAAATTTGGTTTTAGGTGAGTGAAATTCTCACGATGATTATAACGATAATTATGATCAACGAGTACCTGAAAGCACACCTAGTGACCCATGTAAGGCACAACCCCACCATACTGCCCCCCACCATGCTGCTGCTGCTGCTGCTGAAGTCTTCCAGATCCACCTATGCCCACCTGCTGCTGGCTTGCATATGAACTCGTCAACCCTACTTGATTCCCATACCCTCCAACACCAACACCCCCTGGATTCACACTCCCTTGCCCAAGATAACTGCCAGTGTGCGCCCCTGGTGACCCTATCCCCAACAACCCATTCAGCTGCAACCCGGAGGCACCCCGAGATGCGAGCAACGCTGTCAGTGCCTGCCCAACTGCCGGATTAACTGGCTGCACAGCCGCCCCTACTGCACCTCCTCCTACCGCTGGCCCAGCCGGAGCCATCAAGTGACCCGGCATTGGCACTACCCCCACACCAACAAACCCACCACTCTGTGAACTACCCTGCGCCATCCCCACTCGCTGTTGCTTGGAACCATCAATTGCCTTCTGGCAGTGCAAAATATGCCCCTCAAACTTCTTGTGCGGCACCTCCAACGCCCGCTTCGCACCGTCCACGCTCTTATAAACAAACAAACAGAACCCCTTCGGTTTCCCAGTAACCTTATCAAGCCCTAAAGGCCCTTCCTCAATCTCCCCAAAGCGCGCAAAAAACGACAGAAGCCTCTGCGGATCCAATTCCGCACCCACGTTGCTCACGTAGATCTTCCTCTGCGAGAAGTCCAAAGCCCCCGAAGCCGTCGTAAGCGTAGCCTGCGACGGCTGGACCGGACCGACGGACGCCAGTTGGCAGGCGGCAGTGCGGTTGCCGATCCTTTTTTGCGGCTGGCGAAGCGCGTTGCGGGCAGCACGGCGGGTCTTGAAGAGGACGAAGCCGTATCCCTTGGACTTGCCGGTGGCCTTGTCGGCGACGGCCTTGCAGTCCTCGATCTCGCCGTAGGGGCGGAACGCGGCGGCGAGGGTTTCGACCGTGGTGTCCCAGCCGAGCCCGTGTACGAAGATCTTGCGGTGCGCGGGATCGGCATCGGCGGAGCGGCGTATCTGGTCCGCCACGTCGCGGTGCTTGGAGGCGGCCTCGATGAGGAGTCTCGTGACCTCATCCTTACCGAGGGGTTCTAGAAGATTCTGGATTGGCTCGTCGTCGTCGTCGTCGTCGTCGTTTGGAGAGGATGAAGACGTGGAGTGCTGCTTTGAGGTTTCATTGTTAGGTGCTGGTTCTTCTTCAATTTCTTCGCTTTCTTCTTCTTCCTCTTCTTCTTCTTCTTCTTCTTCTTCTTCTTCTTCTTCTTCTTCTTCTTCTTCTTCTTCTTCTTCTACTTCTTCTTCGCTTTCTTCTTCGTATTGTTCTTCTTCTTTATACTCTGCCTCTACATTCAATTGGGGCTGTTGTTGATGCTGTTTGAGAGGGGGCTCTGCGGATTGAGCGGGTTGAGGCGGCTGTTTTCGCTTCCTCGCCATCGTCGTTCTTGAATTAGAGACGCTGCAACTCCAGGTTAGGGTTTGATCGTTACTTCGATTTTGGTTTCAATCTTCCCAAGTACGAGGTTTCTGTCTTGTGTCATATTTACGCTCGTTTATTACCCTTACAAGATACTTTTAAGTTAAAGTTAAAAACAATAACTTAAAAAGGTTATTTGTTGGTTATGATTTTTTTTTTTAAATCAATTACTGTGTAAAAATAATTTAATATACACAAAGTTATTTAACATGTATTTCTCATTAATGTTAACATTACATATTATTTTTAATGAACTAATATTTCAGATATATATATATATATATATATATATATATATATATATATATATATATATATATGTCACTGAGCATGTGAGTATTGTGTTGTATATTTCTTTCTTTTAGACAATTTAATAATATTAATAAAAAAAACATATTGAGCATGATTTATGTTATTAGTATTATGTTGTATTTTTTTTAGATAATTTAATAATATTAATAAAAGGATAATATTTCAAAAATACATAGACTAAATTAACTCTAGAAATAATAATGGAGTGAAATTGAAAAATAATTAAAATTATTTATTTAAATAATTTTTGTAACCTTTGTATATAAAATTTATATTAAAAATGATGTTCTTAATCGTAAGAACTCTTATAAACAATTATAAATAATAAAAATGTTAAAAAATAATTTTGGGCTCAATGTTGACAAGGGGCCGAAATGCAATTATGATCGGTTAAACAAAAAAACTCACTCGTTTACTTTTATATGTCACATTCGAAAGTTCAACATCATCTTAATTATATTTACTAACTATACTTTTGTATTTGCAACTAATAAATGTGGTTTAAATTAATAAACAAGAGAGAGCATAATAGAAAATTAATTTTCACTTTGAATAAAATTAAGGATATTTATTATACCCTTAATGAAAAAATGTGAAAATAAACAGGAATGGAGGGATAATATTTTAATTTTAGTTTTTCAACTCTTACAACTTCCTAGCATCTAACGAAATGTCTATCATTTCCCGAATAGAAGGGAGAAAAAAAATGGTGGAGAATTACTTTCTGTTGCAAGTGAGGTTTTCTGATTCAGTTAGTTATTCCTTGTTTCGTTCTACAATCTACTGCATTACTCTCCCCTACGCGCTAAACCGCAATTGAACTCATATGTGTTTCACTTTCATGAATCACTTGTTAATTACATTGTAATTATTTTATGTTATACAAAAACAAAGTTTTTAATCAATTAAAAGTTGGAATGGTTGATGATTGGTTGTCTTTAGTGGCGGATTTTCTTGGAAGTTGAGGGGGTTGTAGCCCCTTAAAATTTTATAATTCTTGTGTAATTTATAATTTTGGTTCTCTTAAACTTAATGAACATTTAATATATTTACTTGCATATTTATAATTTTATCCTCTCAGTCCTTCCTCAGTTTTATAACTCTCATATAATTTATGATTTTGTTCCCCTCAAACTTTATGATCATTTAATATATTTAAGTATATATCTACAATTTTATCCTTTCACATTTTTATCTTCTTTCTTCCTTTTATATTTATTTATTATTTATTAATAATATATTATTTGGTCCCAAAAATTAATAGTCAAGATCTATTTGTCTTGATTTTTAACATCTATCTATTAATATTTTGTTTTAACAAGTGTAGTATATAAATAACTAACCTCTTTCCGATCTTATAGGTCGATACGTGACGAGGTAGTCAATTATAAGAAGCTAAATTAAAATTTTGCTTTTAACTTAGAAATTGTGCGAGAAACAACAAAGGAATACTCAATACTAGAGATAAATACAATAAGATATTAGAGTTACGAGGGACAATTAAGGAATCACTGCTCGAACTTACATTAAGTTAAAAATAATTTAAAGAAAAAACTTTATTTATTTTTAATCTATTAAAAATAAGTTTGATATGGGGTACTTTTATTAAGTTAATGTTAATAAAATGTTAATGACAAAACTTTCCCAAAAGGGGGGTGAATTAGGTTTTCAAAAATCTTTTGAATTTCTAATTAATTAGTTAAAGAACTTTTTCTAATAATCAATTATAAAAGAATTATCACAGTTTATAGAAAACAAATATACCAAGATAGAGAGAAGAAGAAAAGACACACAAATTTATATTGGTTCGATTCTTCTTGAATCTACATCTAGTTTTAACCAAACAACCTTAACCTGAAATTTTTCACTCAATAACAGATTTACAATATAATCAAATGATCTTGATTTACAACAACCTCTAATCAAGATCACAATACTTGAAAATGTTCTACCTCACAATTTTCAAGTTATATTGATGTAGCTAGCCTCACATACATCAAAACTTAAGAACAAGATACGAAAAAAAGAGATGAAATGAATGCACATTAGATTTACAAAATTATACATCTACAGCCAAACAACATTTCTTTGAAATTGAATTTCAAAACATTTTGCAAAATTATGCTCTTTCCTTGATGTCCAAAACGTTCTTTCTAATTGCTTGTGTTTGTATTTTAAAATTGATATTGATTAAAGAAAGTTTGCATCCTTTTATAAAAAGAAAATTGTTGTAATTGTCATAGATAATCGATTAGCAGATTCATCTAATCGATTATTTGAGTGCAGTGGTAGTTTGAACATAACTAGATAATCGATTAAGTGTTTTACATAATCGATTGTTAACGTGTTGTGTTAAAACAAGATTTTTGACAAATAATCGATTAAATAACTACATAATCGATTATTAGCGCGTCTTATGAAAATTGAATTTTAAGTCATATAATCGATTAACCTTTTATCTAATCGATTATTAGCGCATTGTATTAAGTTTTTTTTGACAAAGAATCGATTAAGTAATCACATAATCGATTATTAGCGCATCTTATGAAACTTAATTTTAAGTCATATAATCAATTTTTAGCACTTCAATTTTAACATAATTAATTATTTTTACTTTCAAAGTTTAGATTGTTTTGGCTCTATACAAATTAACTATCCTAACTACCTTGACATCATCAAAAAAGAGATTTCCTAGTTAATCTTCCCTCTTCATCAACAATCTCCCCTTTTTTGATGATGTCCAACCACCAAAGATAAAAGTAAACATATTGGAAGTTTTTCAGCCGTATCAAAAATCTTTATGTAGATTTAGTAGACTTTTTCTCCCCCTACAATAGTAAACTCTTTCTTTCTCCCCCTTGGACTTAATAAAAAATGGTTAAATCATGCAGTTTGAGCAATTAATACTATCTGTCCTAATATCAGAAAAGAGAGTCATAATCAGTATTTAGTTACAGACAAGTTAAAGTAAATGACAGTTAAAGTGAATTTGTCCACTCAAAACATGAAGAAGAGAGAAAAAGATAATCAATCATCATCATTGGATGATATTTGGATTGTGCCATCACTGTCATCTCCATTATCTTCCACGTCAGTTCCATTATCTTCCACGTCAATACCATCATGTTCTGGTTGTAGCATGCTTATGATTGAAGCTACTTGATCATCTAGTGCATCAAATCTGGAACAATAGTATTGATGCTTATCTTGTTGCCATAGATGAATACTATCAAGTTTTTCTAGCATGCTTTGCTCAAGTGCAGAAAAATTTCTCTTGACAAAAGAATAGGGATATCAGCATTGATTGGCTCTACTCCTTCATCAACAAATTCATCTTCATCCTTGAAGAACCATCCATTATCCCTCTTTACCAGTCACAATGATGAAGAGCAAACTTTCCAATTGCATTGGCATGACTCATGGTTTTGAAGGATTCACCATTAATATTAACCCCTACATATTCAAATACCTTGGACAAAACACATAGAATATGGTAAAGGATATAGAGGAAGCCTATAGGATTTTCTCATATTATCACTCACAACAATAGGTCAATCAACTTGCAGTCTAAACTTGAGAGCATGTATTATGTACATGTCCTTAGAGGTAAGTTGAGCATGATTGCTTCCCCTAGCTATAAGGATCCAGGTGATTACAAAAGCCAACATTCGTTCATCTTTTTTCATACCACCCATTTTTAAAATTGAGTAATCCCTGGCAGTATTAGGGTTCCTAAGACATGATCTAAAGACAGCTAATTTTTTTAAGTTTTCAAACCCCCCAGTGACATTTTCTCCACCTATTATGAATCCTGCTACATATTTCCAAATTTCTTCATCTAAAGCAATATCTACTCCTTTCACGTTAGAATGGATAACTCCATTAACAGTTTTCATATTACAGTAAAATACTTTTACTAGATCATGATAGAAAACTCCATTTAGTTCAATAAACTTTTCTAATCCTTGGAACTCAAGTAAATCTTGAAATAGGAAACCATATTGCCTAAAGAAGGAAATAGAAATGTACTTATGGGTAATGAGCCTTCTTTCCTTCCAGAAGTTTAGAAATTCTTCCCTTTGGTCTTCATCACTCAGCCAACCCTCTGCAGATGCAGGTCTTAGTGGTCTCTTGGAGGCTGTCCTTTTCATCCTTTTGGGTTTTGCAGTGGAAGCCATGTGTGTGGGGTAAGAAGATGAAGAAATGGAAGAGAAGAAGTGAGAAAAGAAGCTATGGAGGCTAGGGTTTTCGTGGGAGAGAGCTCGAGAAGAGATGAGTGAGTGAGAGAAGGAAGAGTAGTAAAGGAAGATGTGCAGAGGATTTTAATTGAATTAATTTTGTACTTTCAATAATCGATTATATAAGTGGATAATTGATTAATAGTGCATGCATCAGAGTATGAAGAAAGTCAATTAATCAATTATGTTAACTGATAATCGATTATCAACACTTCATATAAAATCTTGAACAACCCAATTTAATCGATTATTTTTGTTATTAATCGATTATATTAACATCCTAAAGATGACATAATCGATTATGTTAAAATATTAATCGATTATTTTGTTTCCTTGGAAGTAATCTAATCGATTATATTGAATTTTAATCGATTATTTTTATCAATTATTATGAAGACCAGTTTTTAATC